ACAGGTACCAAATTAAAGCCTTTCAAAACCCTACATTTTGGACTACATGGACGACTCTCTACTCCCAGTAGAAGCGGAGATATCGACGGATGAAGGCTGGATATCGACGGAGAAAGGTTGGAAAACTTTAACCTTCGATATCTCCTAAACGGTTAGAGATACAGGCTTCGGACAGGTACCAAATTAAAGCCCTTTCAAAACCCTACATTTTGGACTACATGGACGACTCTCTACTCCCAGTAGAAGCGGAGATATCGTCGGAGAAATGTTGGAAAATTTTTAAACTTCGATATCTCCTAAACGGTTAGAGATACAGGCTTCGGACAGGTACCAAATTAAAGCTCTTTCAAAATCCTACATTTTGGACTACATGGACGACTCTCTACTCCCAGTAGAAGCGGAGATATCGACGGAGAAAGTTGGAAAACTTTAACCTTCGATATCTCCTAAACGGTTAGAGATACAGGCTTCGGACTGGTACCAAATTAAAGCCCTTTCAAAACCCTACATTTTGGACTACATGGACGACTCTCTACTCCCAGTAGAAGCGGAGATATCGACGGAGAAAGCTTGGAAAACTTTAACCTTCGATATCTCCTAAACGGTTAGAGATACAGGCCTGGTTCTGGCACCAAATTAAAGTCCTCTCAAAACCCTACATTTTGCCGTAAGGACGACTCTCTACTCCCAGTAGAAGCGGAGATATCGACGGAGAAAGCTTGGAAAACTTTAACCTTCGATATCTCCTAAACGGTTAGAGATACAGGCCTGGTTCTGGCACCAAATTAAAGTCCTCTCAAAACCCTACATTTTGCCGTAAGTGACGACTCTCTACTCCCAGCAGAAGCGGAGATATCAACGGAGAAAGCTTGGAAAACTTTAACCTTCGATATCTCCTAAACGGTTAGAGATACAGGCCTGGTTCTGGCACCAAATTAAAGTCCTCTCAAAACCCTACATTTTGCCGTAAGTGACGACTCTCTACTCCCAGTAGAAGCGGAGATATCAACGGAGAAAGCTTGGAAAACTTTAACCTTCGATATCTCCTAAACGGTTAGAGATACAGGCCTGGTTCTGGCACCAAATTAAAGTCCTCTCAAAACCCTACATTTTGCCGTAAGTGACGACTCTCTACTCCCAGTAGAAGCGGAGATATCAACGGAGAAAGCTTGGAAAACTTTAACCTTCGATATCTCCTAAACGGTTAGAGATACAGGCCTGGTTCTGGCACCAAATTAAAGTCCTCTCAAAACCCTACATTTTGCCGTAAGGACGACTCTCTACTCCCAGTAGAAGCGGAGATATCAACGGAGAAAGCTTGGAAAACTTTAACCTTCGATATCTCCTAAACGGTTAGAGATACAGGCCTGGTTCTGGCACCAAATTAAAGTCCTCTCAAAACCCTACATTTTGCCGTAAGTGACGACTCTCTACTCCCAGTAGAAGCGGAGATATCGACGGAGAAAGCTTGGAAAACTTTAACCTTCGATATCTCCTAAACGGTTAGAGATACAGGCCTGGTTCTGGCACCAAATTAAAGTCCTCTCAAAACCCTACATTTTGCCGTAAGGGACGACTCTCTACTCCCAGTAGAAGCGGAGATATCAACGGAGAAATCTTGGAAAACTTTAACCTTCGATATCTCCTAAACGGTTAGAGATACAGGCCTGGTTCTGGCACCAAATTAAAGTCCTCTCAAAACCCTACATTTTGCCGTAAGTGACGACTCTCTACTCCCAGTAGAAGCGGAGATATCGACGGAGAAAGCTTGGAAAACTTTAAGCTTCGATATCTCCTAAACGGTTAGAGATACAGGCCTGGTTCTGGCACCAAATTAAAGTCCTCTCAAAACCCTACATTTTGCCGTAAGTGACGACTCTCTACTCCCAGTAGAAGCGGAGATATCGACGGAGAAAGCTTGGAAAACTTTAACCTTCGATATCTCCTAAACGGTTAGAGATACAGGCCTGGTTCTGGCACTAAATTAAAGTCCTCTCAAAACCCTACATTTTGCCGTAAGTGACGACTCTCTACTCCCAGTAGAAGCGGAGATATCAACGGAGAAACTTGGAAAACTTTAACCTTCGATATCTCCTAAACGGTTAGAGATACAGGCCTGGTTCTGGCACCAAATTAAAGTCCTCTCAAAACCCTACATTTTGCCGTAAGTGACGACTCTCTACTCCCAGTAGAAGCGGAGATATCGACGGAGAAAGCTTGGAAAACTTTAACCTTCGATATCTCCTAAACGGTTAGAGATACAGGCCTGGTTCTGGCACCAAATTAAAGTCCTCTCAAAACCCTACATTTTGCCGTAAGTGACGACTCTCTACTCCCAGTAGAAGCGGAGATATCAATGGAGAAAGCTTGGAAAACTTTAACCTTCGATATCTCCTAAACGGTTAGAGATACAGGCCTGGTTCTGGCACCAAATTAAAGTCCTCTCAAAACCCTACATTTTGCCGTAAGTGACGACTCTCTACTCCCAGTAGAAGCGGAGATATCGACGGAGAAAGCTTGGAAAACTTTAACCTTCGATATCTCCTAAACGGTTAGATATACAGGCCTGGTTCTGGCACCAAATTAAAGTCCTCTCAAAACCCTACATTTTGCCGTAAGTGACGACTCTCTACTCCAAGTAGAAGCGGAGATATCAACGGAGAAAGCTTGGAAAACTTTAACCTTCGATATCTCCTAAACGGTTAGAGATACAGGCCTGGTTCTGGCACCAAATTAAAGTCCTCTCAAAACCCTACATTTTGCCGTAAGTGGCGACTCTCTACTCCCAGTAGAAGCGGAGATATCAACGCAGAAAGGTTGGAAAACTTTAACCTTCGGTATCTCCTAAACGGTTAGAGATACAGACCTGTTTCTGGCACCAAAATAAAGTCCTCTCAAAACCCTACATTTTCCCGTAAATGACCTTCCCTGAACAAAAATCAAATTCTCTTTCTATACATGCGGTCGACAGGGGAGGCAACGCGTGCGAGCCCTGGACAACGGGGTACTCGGAATTTTGAAGTACCCAAAGGTAGGCCGAAAAATGCGCGACGTAGCGGTTTTTTAGCAAAAGCATCCGGATAAACTGTTTTTTTCCGAAGATGGATGGAAATGCACCAATCAGAACGCAGTATTTTCATCGAGCAAGCAATCTAGCATGAAAACAAGCACCGTGTGCCGCTGGCTTTAGTGGTGACGGAAGTTATTAATTCGCTTATTCTTTCGGTACATAGACCGTGGGCAGCACAGTCGGTTCCCTACTACCGCTCGTCGGATGCCATATTGGACACTTAAGAGCCATCACACGTAGAAAAATTTTAACCGTAACCGTAAGGTTGTGAGAAAACTGACAGTCGATTATTATAATGTCACAAGAGAACGGATCGACGGTAATTGGTCATTTTTTTTACAATCTTACGGTTACGTTTAAAATTTTTCTACGTGTGATGGCCTTTACTGTTTACCAGTTTTCTGGAGCAGTAGGAATTTTGTGCATTTTGTGCGTTAGCAAGTGATAGCAAGTGATCATTAATTTAGTGAGAGGTGTTTATTTTCAGGTTATTTGCAGGTTATTTACAGGTTATTTACAGGAAGGAGAGCCGAGTGAAGAGAGAGAGCGTGTGGAGATAAAATATTTCTATTTCTGTAAGTAAATATTTATATGTAAATATGTAAATCGGTTTAAATTATTTCACAACGTTGTTCGTTGATCTTTCCTAAGGTCTCAGATAGCACAAATGTTTTAAACACATTTGACTTATATTAAAAGGCAAATTAAAAGTAAGAAGTCTCTCTTTTATTCGCTTTTAGAGGTATCTTATCGTAGATCGATATTAAGAGTGAGAATATGAATGCTTATGTGCAGTGATGCACATATATGGTGCAGGTTGTTAGTGCATCAAATTTTTTTAACCACACCAGGTATATGGCAGAAGAGTACCTGACAGTCCGCAGTCTGCAAGTGGGACGGAAAAAATTTGATGCATAAAATTCATTGTAATTATTTTTCATTGAACTGTAAATAATTTCATTAAACTACATATATATATATATATACCATTGTAACTAAAAAAATATATGTGTATAATATGTTTATAAAACGAAAATTGTATACTGCTTATTTCAGTAAAATTTGCGAACCCTATTATATACACAAACACATCACAAAAAAAATATATATTGAGTGGAATAATAATTAATTTCTTTGTTTTCAGATACAATGGAATAATTGTATGTTTATGTCATTATAATTTCATGAAATAATGTATGCGATATATTGAACTATTGAGTTCCTCACAAAATGCTTGCGTTGATTAACATCATTGATTCATGTTAATTCTTTGTATAAAATTAAATTTTGAAAATCACTGAAAAAACTGCAATGACTTTTTGAACAACCCATATCATCTACCATCTCTCGTTTACATTGCTTCATGAAATTATAACAACATACAAGTATTGTTTAATTTTACCAAAAAAATACAAAACTACTTCTCAGATAGCACCAAATCTTCAGAGAATGTCCTTAGAACGTTCTTAAAACATCCTTTCAAGATTTGTGCTATATAAGTTATTACACGTTTAATATATAGATAAGGCCTGTTCTTTTTCGCTGCACTGATGCAATAAGTTAGAGTGAGAAATATATATTTGTTTCACTCTAACTTATTGCAGCAGTGCAGTGAAAAAGAACAGGTCTTATATTTATATATCTGTGTACTGGATTTCAATGTAGCGCGTATCCCCACTCTGTATCACGTGACCTATTTTAGTTCCACCAGTTCCGGTACATATCATGGTGGCGCTCCAAAAACCTGTCGCTCGGTTTCTAAAGCCAGCGGCACACGATGCTTGTTTTCGTGCTTGCTGAATGAAAATACTGCGTTCTGATTGGTGCATTTCCATCCATCTTCGGAAATGTACCAATCAGAACGCAGTATTTTCATCCAGCAAGCAATCCAGCACGAAAACAAGCACCGTGTGCCGCTGGCTTAAGAGGGGAGTTTGTATCCCCTGGAACGGAGCCTTAGATATATTCTCTAAATAAGGTTATGTACCTTGTTTAGCGTTTTATGGTAGCAAATAACGGTCTATGGTCCGCGACAGTATTTCCATTAATTAAAACCAATACTCTCCTTCCTACCTGCCTGTGTCGGAGATTATTCTACGAAATGGCCGAAATTCCCTTGAGTTTGGGTGAGAAGACGTTTATCCTCCATGGAATAGATGTGAGTGTGTGTACAATCACGGCGCGCACGTGCTGTTGTTTTCATTTTACTTGTAAGCGTTTTACGTTTAAAATATCTTCGAGTCAGCCAAGGAAATATTCATTCCATCAAGATTCTCTCGTTATATATTCATTAATCAGTCGACCGATTATCAGACCGGTTTCAGAAATGACGGACGACAAAAGTACGAGTATCGCTCGCTGGAAATTGAAACCAGATTGATGCCGCAGACGAACGGATCAGCGCGACTGAGAATAGGCAACACGGACGTGTTGGTCGGCGTGAAAGTGGAGATCGACACACCACACGCCAACAAACCTGAAGAAGGCAAATTAGACTTTTTCGTGGACTGGTAGGTATCCCAGATCTTAGACTTATCTTTTGGATCTTCGAACAATACTGAATATGGATCTTCACTGTCTCTGTCAGTTCTGCTAATGCCACGCCAGCGTTTGAAGGCAAAGGAGGGGAAGACCTGGCAACCGAAATAAGCAATCTTCTCTCCTTGGCTTATCGAACACCCTATGCCTTTGACCTAAAAGAGCTGTGTATACTGCCTCACAAGAAGTGTTGGAAAATGTACGTGGACATTTTGGTAAGTATTATTGGATGAGGGAGCATTATCAAGACTGCTAAGGCTCATTCTCTCTGTTTTCGGCAGATTCTACAATGTGGTGGGAACCTATTTGATGCGGTAGGTGCTGCAGTAAAGGCTGCATTGTACAATACTGAGATCCCGAGAGTGGTCACGGCAATGCTCGATGGCAACGAACCAGATGTTAAACTGTCGGACGATCTTTATGACTGTATCAAACTAAACGTGACGAATTACCCTGTGGTGATAACAGTGTGCAAGGTGGGTATGCATTAATCTTCACCGTTAAAAACTTGTAAACACTTAGTGCAGTAACTATAAAGTACAAAACGCAATAGATGTAGTAAGCTTTTAGCCTTTTGTCCTAAGCCTTCAAAAGCATAACGTAATTTCTAGTAGCATGGGATGTGCTTTTGTCATAAATTAGGATTTTGAGCTTAGAGCAAAGAGTAAATGCTCATTACATTCACTCTTGTATTTCAAACCTCATGGACATTCACTGTACGTCAAGTGTTTACCTTTTCTAATAGTTTTGATTTCTTTAGATTGGCGACAACTGCGTAGTGGATCCAACGCCAGAAGAAGAATCATGCAGTGTCGCTAGTCTCATCATGTCCGTGATGCCAAACGGCAAGATAACGTCTGTAGTAAAGATAGGATATGCCAGTCTGCAGCCTGTCACCTTGATTAAGATGCTGGAGGTAACGAGTTTCTTTGTATCTCTCAGGTAAATTGTGTAGACCAAGACTTAATTCTAAATTCTCGACTTTACAGGTAGGGAAGAGTGTTGCTCTCAGGCTGAACCAAGCTCTCCTGAAAGGATTGCAGGAAGAGGACAAGCTCGGTCGGTCGCGGCCGATATGCGGGTTTCTTAGATAATACGTTCGTCCGCGCATGCTCGTCGCGGGGGCACTAAAAGTACAAACATATTTTCTCAGGCTCAAACTTTAATCGTCGCGTCGAAATTTCCCGTCTTTTATCGTTAGACTACGAATGTTCCTGTATGTATTGATATTTAAGCAGAGGAAGATATTTGAGAATTCTGATAGCGCATAATTAGTAAATGAGTACAAATTGTTAATAAGATCTTTCATTGTATATTGAGCGCGATAATTTAGATTTATAACGGAAAGACAAGCGTGGGCATTTTGTCTCGTTCGTTCCCTGCAGTTTTATTCGCGGAACATGCGTGGTTTACTAATATTACGATGTAACAGTTGTTGGATGTCTTTTGGCGACGAGGTTGAGAAATTTTACGGAACTACAGCAGCGCGATTCTACCTTTATTTTTCCCCGATGCATTATAGCTGCATCGAATTTTGTTCGAATTGCGTAGCGTGCAGTGTTGCAGTGTGTTTAGTGTTTAGTGACGATTAAAAAAAATCAGCTGGATAAAAGTGAATTTAAATAGATTAAAATTTTAACAGATCTTATAAAATCGACTGTATAAAAGTGATGCAATCTCAAATATGCAACATCAATCTCAGTGCCGTCTGAAACAAGCAATACTAGTGCGAAAGTCTCTACATGAGACATGAAAACAAATATTTCAATATTGTACACATTTACAACGATGTAAACTAGATTGTCTGTGAACGTAAACTTGGAAAGTCTTGTAAATATAACACTTTTTACATTAAGATGCAGATAAAGATAATACACATTCGCGTTATCTAGATAAAAAGAAGTTTGTACCAGAACTTGTGTCTTAGAAAGTCATCTGTATGATTTTAACAAAGATAACTCGATTTTCTCGATAACAACAAACACTGCCGACAGTCAAAGTAGACAAGTGTCGCGCACTGTTACAAAAATATTTATAAATAGTTTGCTCAAGCGCATGCGAATATGAAAAGTCACACTTTATCTCCGCACAGGGGAGAGAGTCAGTACTGACAAAAAGAATTCCTTGCACGATTACTACTTGACAGCGTTTCTTCCGTCCGTTCTATAGAATATCCCTTCACCATAAAGAATATTTCTCCATAAAGTCAATTGTTTAAATGGGAGTGAAACGGGGCTGGGTTGGGAAAGAAGTCGCACGAAGCTGGAGCTGTGATAACGAAATCGGTTTTTTTCTTTTTCTTTAACGATCCTTAAAGAGAGTGGCTATTACAATGATTATGTTGAAAGTGCTGAAAGTAGTGAAAGATATCTTTCTCTTTTTAGTTTTAGTTATAAATATTCTGTTCTTACAGTAGTATTTGTTCTCCCCCACCCTCTCTCTCTCTCTCTCTCTCTCTCTCTCTCTCTCGTCCTTGCTTTCTTATTATTCTTTTCTTTCTTTTCTTCTTTAACGGACCTGTTATAGTTTGTACAGAGGTCCTAAGTAACTCTTACAGGATAATAGTTAGAATCGTTTTCTCTAGCGTGTCGGTGTGTATAGTTACAAGAATTCGTCAATGTATATTATATCCTAATATCATCATTGTCGGCCGAGACGATCGGACGTCCGGTTTCGCCAGCGCGAGCGGTGACACCGTCGAGCGATGTGTTTAGGTTTAGGTTTAGCTTCATTATGCTCTCTCTCTCTCTCTCTTTCTTTCCACTGCTCTCGCCGTGTGTCTTTCTTTCTCGGTCGCGCGGCGTGGAAACGATTATTTAATGTGATGAGGAGACTCGGCAGATCGCGTCTTCGCATGGCCATCGACGCGAGATCGCTTTCTTTTTTTCTTTTTCACTTTTTCTTTTGCTTTTTCGCCCGCTATTCTCGCATATATTATAAAAGAACGTCGATCCCTTTCGCGCGCACTCGTCACGACGACGTGCGTCGCGATTAAGTCGCGGACACACTGGTCGAATAAACGAATCAAGCCGCCGACGCGAAAAGCAAGCTTTCCCCGATTCCTCAAGCTCGCCGTGAAGAGCTTTCGAGCGATCGGATCTGCGCGCGCAGGTGCGAGTATAATCGCTCCGCGCAAGAGATGGGTCGTCATCGGCGCGACTTCGCTTCTGTGTTCCCCTCGACACCGGTCGGCCAATCTTCGTCTCTCGGAACGCGTTCGCGCGTCATAGGACAAAAGGATGTCTCCTCGAGGTTCTCATACCGAGAGAGCGGATCTCGCGCGAGAATTCGATGGAGAACAAACGGAAGCGCAAAGAAGCGAGTTCGACAGTCGCGAGTTGTCGCGGTACAAACTCTTCTTGCTAACGAACGACGATACTTTCTGGAGGCCTCTCCCGGGCCGAGCGAGAGTACCTTTTGTACTTTCGGGAATACATACACGGCGAGAGTGACCTCGCCCCGGGTCAATCGACTTAATCGCACCGCTCATTGACGCGCTCGACGTCGCGTTGCAAGCACAGCTTGCGCGCGCGCGCGCGCTAAATCTAACGGGATCCACGACGAAGGAGGGGCTTACACATCGGCGAAAGCTCGCCTCCCGTCTCCTCGTTACCTGCCCGTCGCTTACAAATCGTGAACGGTTTAAGCTACGCTAAAGCGGCTCGCGGCGGTTATCGCCGAGTCGACGTCAGCGTGAGTCAACGTCGACGCGTTGATACGACGCGCCCCCTCGGACTGATCGGAAGATCGCGGTCTAGGCACCGCGATCTCCCTGGAGAAATGAGGTGGACTCGGAAGTAGCACCGGAAATAACGCGATAACGTCAACGACACACGGTGCAGGGCCCGATCTGAAACTCGCGCGGTGAACCTTGCGAGTCTTCTCCTCAGCAATGATGATTATTAGCGATATCTCGATTAGCGGGGAAATAAATCGAAGCGCTTTAGCGTGGCGTAAAACGCAGTGCGAAGTCACTGGGATGGGGGAGGGGGGGGGAATGCGAGAAGAAGGTGACGAATTTAGATAAAAAATTCAGAAAGGAAAGATGGAAAAACGCCAAGTAGGACGCTTGGCTTCTTCCGCTCTCTCGAAGCTCGAAGCTTCAAAGGTCTACCGGAGACGTCGCGATCTCAAAGTTTCAAGCGTTACTACGACTTCCGGCGGCGCAGCGAACGCCTTTCGCGGGAGATCACGTAACGTAACGATTTCGGGCTCCGGGCAAAAGGCTGAAGACTTACTACACGAGCCGCTGTGTTCCGGGTCCAAGCCCCACGTGCGGTAACGTAACTTCCGTCGTAATAATAATAACGCCTCGAGCTTAGGGACTGCGTCGTCCGGTAGTGCGGGAAGGTGTACCCTTTCCCGGAAATTGAGAGTGAAACAGGTCGGAGCTTAGAGCCGAAGGGCTGTCGCTACACCTGTCGCGGAGGAGATCGGGCCCTGATCAGCGCGTGTCGATCGTCTCTACTCCGCTAGGTGAATATGAAAGCAATCTAGTACGATCTGGCGCGATCATCGCGTCGACCGGCTCGCGAGGATCAATCGCTCTGCTGCCCCAAGTCGAGATCTATCAACGATCAACGTAAGGGCAATTATATATCCGTCTATTCGGCAAGTACTCGAGCACCTCTCGACCATCGGATTATCGATCCCTTAAATACGTTAAAGCTACGTTGTTTATTTATAACGCCGCGCGCGCATGTACACGAGCACGTGCGGAGTGTCTCGGAAATCGATGTCGGGGAAAGCCTTCGACTTATCCTTCTTCTTTCTTTTTCTTCTCTCGCGTCGATCGAGCGCACCTTGGTCTTTCCGGCTTGCGAGAGATCAGGCAACTTTCAGGCGATTCCGCTTCGACACAGCAAATGTTCCGTCAGGACTGAATATTTGAACTGAACTGTGTTGGGTGTGTGAACGACTTTTGGTTTCTCTTCGTTTTTCCGTCTCTCGCCCTTCCTTCGTTATTACATATATGTACATTCTCACGCGAAGTCCAACCACTCGCCAAAATCTCTTAATCTTCAACGACCAAGAACTAGGCGAGCATTGTCTCCGAATCGAAACGCGACTTCCGGGACACCCTGCGCATGCTAAAACAGCCCATTTTAATGAATGCTGTGAAATGTCTCCGTGAAACTAAGCGAGATACGGCATACGTTGCAATCGGTTGGCCTTGGTAAGATTTATCGTGTGGAAAAAGATACGTCGATCGCGCGCACTGAGAAATATTTCACCGCATTTATTACAACGGGGAATAACTTTTCTTTATGTCGATTTTATATTTATAATTGTATTTATATATTTACGCGTGTGTCTCTCTCTCTCTCTCTCTATATATATATATATATGTATATATGTATGTATACATATATATATGCATAGCTGCATAGTTGTATTTGTCTCTCTTTCTGTATTTATATTCATATTCGTATTTATAATATGTTCATATTTATATCAGTATTTAATATATATATATAAAGATTTATCTATGTAACATGTCGCGTACAACAATGTTGTTTGAGTAACCGCTGATTCGAGGTGAAAAGAAATGTTTCTCGCGCGCCTTTCTGAGATCGCGAAGGTCAAACTGTGAAAAAATTGGTGCGTGCCGAGGGCGAATTTGATTTCTCGCGCGCTTCTATGAAGGAGAGCGTAATTAAAGAGGAAAGAAGAGAACGCGCGCAATCGAAACGGCCACGGTAATGGAGAATGACACAAGCGCGTGAGAGACAATTGTGTGAGATGTCGATCGAGAATGGGCGGAACTGAAAGAAAAGATGAGAGAGAAACGTAAAACAGAGTTTCGATCCACACTCGCTCGACACAGCTGTGAATATAATCGTGTACTTTATTTATTTAACGTTCAATTAAACTTTCGCAAATTCAAAATCCACAGTATAATTCATCCATCATCTATTTTTTTTTTATCTTCGAATGTCCACATTATTATAATAATAATAATAATACGTGTCGCTTTTTCACACTCGGTTAATCAATTGCACGTCGTGAGAAACAAATCCCTTTGTTCTTTCTTTTTTTTGCGTTTCTTCTCTTTTTATTAACTCCACCTTGCGCTGGGCGTAACGTAATTTGCGTGTTCATCCCTAAAATTCACCACACTTTAACCGCAATAAATAATGTGTTTTTTTTTTTACTCGCTTACAGGTATTATAAGTTTTACAAACGGCGACTCTTGCCGCACGAGACGACCCCTCGCCGTACACCCCTTGGTACAACGATAACAACGAGTCCGAGCTACGAACGAATGGCTTTCCTCCCTCTCCCTCTCTCTCTCTTTTTTTTTCTTTTCTACTCTTTTCTCCTCTTTTCCCTTAAGTAATCGCACTGCGGGTTTCATTACTACTACGTGTCCGGCACATTACAGCATTAAATGTTCTGGCCGTTTCGCTCTCTTCTTGTCGCTCGTCTCTTTAATAAGCTTTCTCACAGCTCCCTTCCCCCTCTCCCCCTCCTACGACGCACACAGCTATTCTCTTTCTCTCGTCACCTCATACCTTAATAACAGTACCCGGACTTGTGTCGCGCATAACACAAGCTCGCCGACAACTGTCGAACCGCGGCTCGGCGAGCCGGTGAAACACGAAACACCGACCCTGGGCGCGCGCGATACGGAACTAGAATAATAAATTATTATTATTATTATTATTATTAATGTTATTAATATTATTATTACTATTATTATTTATTAATAATATTATTATTATATATTAAATCTCGAGTTTTTTCTCGGGTCGAAGCCGCTATTAAATCGCTAGATATATACCTATGTACATCTATACATATACATATATAGACGTGGGCAAGGTATATATGTACATGTACATTGGTGCGCCA